TGGTTAGTCCAGGAGGACGGCTGCTCTGCCCTGAGCGGCCTTGATCTTTTTAGTGGGGGCTTCATGCAAAGTGGGGTTAAGTGTCTTGCCCAAGGACACATCAGGAGCAGAGATCAGTGACAGTAGATGGTAGTTCATCTAAGATCAAACTGCAGAGGATGACAGTAAAGTGTGCTTTGTTTGCATCAGTGACTCTGGCTCTAAAACTCTGATCCCCAGAAATGATTCCAGACTTTTAATATATTCTTTACTGACATTTAGTGGACAACTTATGTTATTTTGTAATAACATGGTTATTTCATCGATAATATCAAGTTATTCTTTTGCCCCACATCATGCTGTCTACATGTTAGAAATGTTTCATAAAACCCAGAGAGTCACTATTTGACTCTTTGGGCTGAGAGCTGAGTGTCCTTGCGTCTTTTTCACATCCTCTGTCTGGAAAAGCTGATCTTAAGATGGGACACAAGTCAAAAAAACAAGTGTGTGAAACTGTTTTTCAAACCAGGAGCTGGTGACACAGATTTTATCACATAACGTCATTATTATGTAGTTGAAAATGGACTCTAGATGATGAAAAACATTCTCAATTCACGATGATTACATTACAACCACCTCATATCTCATGCAGACAACAGTATCCTGGGAGTATGTAGCACGAACGCAGAGAGAGCACAGGGATCAGCTCACAAAGGTACTGCAGCTGAGTCCACTGTACGAGACCAGACTGTAAAACAATGGCATTATTTCACACACAAATTAGCCGCTCCGTTGGCTGGAGATAAACCGGTCTTGGAATGATAGCATGCAGACACAAGTTACCATATTTTTATCTGTTTAATCTTAATGTTATGCAAAGTTAGATCAATAGGTTCTGTAGGGTTCAGATTTGGGGCAGGTACAGCACAGTCTGTGGGCACCGAGAAGCTGGAACCAGTAGCTTTCATTAATAATTAGTCCATTTGAACACAATTCCCTCTGGTCCTGTCCGCAGTTCATTGACTGCAGATGCCTCCTCCTAAACCTGCCTTACAACACGGGTCTAACAAACACACACGCATTTCCACACAGGTCCAACAACATTTAAGACATTCTCAAAGGCAATTTAATGCATTGGTTTTATATAGCACTTTTTTGGACACTCAAAGATGTTCCCAGAGGTCTCCCATCACAGTATTAACCAGGCCCTGCCCTGCACAGTGTCAGAGGTCCAAGGGGATCTGGCTTTTGCATGCAAGTTTGGCCACCAATGGGAAAACTTGGTTAAGTGTCTTGCCTAAGGACACAACGGCAGCAGACATCAGTGGGAGTCTGTGGAGAAAGTTTTGTGGTGGGCTCGAACCCACGACCTTCAGGCTCAAAGACCAACGCTCTACCACTGTCGCACCTGTTTATTGAGATCTTTTTACTTTACTTCTTTTAAAATAACAAAATAATATAACATGTTCAGTCACTTCACAGTTGTCCGTTACTTTGTGGGATCTTTCTGTAAAAATCGCCCAAAGACTGTTATGGTTAAAGTTGACAACAAGAGCTCAAGCTGCAGAGAGTCTTAAGCACTGACAGGAGCGATGCAGAGGTCGCTGCCCAATCCTCGTGTTCAGGGGAGTTGAACCTACAAACACATGAGTGACATGAACAGAGGGAGTTCCAGACCTGAATGAAGGTCGCGATGAAAGGAAAAGCTGGAATCCATCCTGTTTGGAGGAGAAGTTCAGGAGGTTTCGTCGCTTTCATGACAGAGAGGTGAGGATTCTTTGGGTGTGAGAGAGGGATAACTGCTGACACTGGACCTGAACTGTGTCATTGGAAAGTGTTTGTGTGTGAACAACATGAGTCCAGTCTCAGCAGAAAGTGTTTGTGTGTGAACAACATGAGTCCAGTCTCAGCAGAAAGTGTTTGTGTGTGAACAACATGAGTCCAGTCTCAGGTCTCTGCACCGGCTTCACGAGGCTTCAGCAGACTTTAAAACAGCTCTGCTCTGGCCTCGCACCAAAGAACATCTGTGACATGTTAGGACCAGATTCAGACTCAAGATTCAAGAATGTATATGCCATTTGCAGTAAAACCACATCGGAAGAACTGTGCAAGACTCCCCCAGACAGAGAGGACAACACTCACCTGAGCTCTTGCCTCCTGCTGGGACTCTGAGGAGCACAGGGACTGGCCTCCTTCTGGGACTCTGAGGAGCACAGGGACTGGCCTCCTGCTGGGACTCTGAGGAGCACAGGGACTGGCCTCCTTCTGGGACTCTGAGGAGCACAGGGACTGGCCTCCTTCTGGGACTCTGAGGAGCACAGGGACTGGCCTCCTGCTGGGACTGAGGAGCACAGGGACTGGCCTCCTGCTGGGACTGAGGAGCACAGGGACTGGCCTCCTTCTGGGACTCTGAGGAGCACAGGGACTGGCCTCCTGCTGGGACTGAGGAGCACAGGGACTGGCCTCCTGCTGGGACTGAGGAGCACAGGGACTGGCCTCCTTCTGGGACTCTGAGGAGCACAGGGACTGGCCTCCTGTTGGTCCCAGAGTCAGGGCTAAAGGCAGAGTTTCAGATTTACACAGCTAAAATCTGAAACAGTCTTCCTGAAAATGTGAGACAGGCTTCTCTTCTACTTTCCAATCCATGCCTGTTTCTCTGAGCTGTGAGGGATTTTATCTTTCATCTTTTTAATGTGCTGTGATTATTTATGATTTTAATCTCTTGTGTGATCTTAAAGGGTTGTTATTAATTCCCTGTTATTATAATGTTTATGCCGTATGTGATAGTGTCTGTGTGTGCAGTGTGTGTTGCTGTGTGTAGGAAAAGCACTAGACATATAAAGATTGATTGACTGAAGTGCTCATGAACAAAGTTTTACTCCACATCATCATTAAATAGACGCAAGCTTGAACGCCTCACCAAAGTCTCTGATTGGCCGATTCTCCACAGCTTTGGAACCTTTGGCCTTGCTTTGTGGTCAGAAAGTCTCTGGTTCCAGTGTCTCCTCTCGGCCCTGACCGCGGCGGACTCCTTTATCTTCTTGTCAACTGGCAAAGATTCAAAGAAAAAAGCCTCTGCCCCTTCATCTCTCCAGCTCATCTGATCATATCTCCTCCGCCGCTCTGTTCACCTCGATGCGCCGCCGAGGGAAATCAAACCACGGAGACTTCACAGGGCTGAGGCTGAGCTGATTGGCTGAGTGGGGCTGGTCCTTTCTTTTTCACTTTTCTGTCTGAAGACGCTGATTAGAAGACGTGACAGAGGCATGCATCGAAAACCAGTGAAAGAACTCGGGTTTGGAATCTGAGTCCCTCACGACAGGATTTACGATACAGTTCACGATACAGTCGTATCTCAACACGACACTGCTGAGATTATCGATATGAGAAAGGCAAGTTTATTTGTATAGAACAGTTGAAATCGTACCTGAATCCAGCGTAGGGTTCTTTTGTTTTTCTGCTATTGTCGGCGACTAAAAGTGTTAGCATCATGTCAACTTGGAGAAAAATGTTCGAACCCAGGACCTTCTTGTTGAGAGGCGAGAGTGCTAACCACTCAGCCACCGTGCCAGTGATGTTCTTAAGAATTTTTTTTTAAAGTATAATGATATTGTTCACGTATTTTCAGATATCATTAAAAAATCATGTTATTCTGTGTGAAATAAAATAACTTTTTGTCGGCTGAGATTTGTCCGCCGCCATATTGAATGTAGCCGTCTGTTAAGCGTTCGTGGTCAGGTGTGTGGGAGATGCTGGATTCAGAGCTGCTACAGATTCACCCGATCACAAGTCTTCACTTCTGCTGCAGACACTCGCTCACTCCCATCACCTCCAACATTACCTCCAACATTACGTGGGTTTTTTCGTGGAGCTGAGTATGTACATGTTGTAAATACCCCTTCTTTGAAAATGGAAGTAACACAACTATTTTGCTAGCACCACTATAATTATTCAGACGCACTGTGAGAGAGAAGTTATTTTTCCGAGCGGTCATAATTCTATGTGATTGTACAAGGGAAGTTACTATAATACCAATTTAATCAGTAACTCTCTGTTGCACAAACGTGGTACACAGTGTTTTGAACGTCCTGCATCTGTTTAGAGCCGTTTGAAGAGACCAGAAGTGACAGAAGTCTAACCTACGGGAGACAAACGCAGGATGAGAATCTCCAAGTCTGTTTTAGACCCTGTTTTTAAATACGCACTTCCCGTTGGTCTTCATTGAGCTCAGGGTCAGCTTTGTCCATCTACACACAGTCTATGATTAATCCAATATAGTCATAACCAATCAGAACGGCACTTCTGTGTGTTTTAAAGCAGTGTTTCCAAACCTTTTTGAGCCCTGGCACACCTTTACCAGTAACACAAAAACATGGCAGAAGAAGCAGAAACTGAATCAAAATTGAAACTCTGCAGCCGAGATTAACAATGGAATGTCCTTCTCATCAAAATGTTTATTTCCTCATGTCCTCGTGCCTTTGAACGCATCTGGGCGCTAGCTGTGCGGCTGCTAAAATTATTTTTTCTCGAATACATTAGTTCAGGCTGTGAGGAAAAGAAGATGGAACTTGTGGGCAGAAAAAGTGTTGTTTGGCAGAACTTTCAGTCCAAATTTGTAACGTCGATTTGTCTCGTGGTGGTAAGGACCTAAACAGTTCACAACATCGCCGCTGTTAGAACATTTGCGTATGAAACATTAATGGACTGAATGTAGGATTTGGTTTTGGATTCGGCTGAATCTACCCCAGTGGATTCGTTATTCACCCGAACTCCAAAAATCTGGATTCGGTACATCCCTAGAAACAATACATTGTTAATTACATTTTTGAGCACCCTAGCATTATATTATTAAAAACACACATTAAGTACAAAAATAATGAATTGCCAGATAAGCAGCACACATTCAGCGCCCCGGCCTCTTTAATAATTACTGAGAGTGAATGAAGCGCAGTTATGAATAAGCAGTTTTAGTTTATATTGGAAATGCAACTGGCTCAAGAGGCCGGAGATAAACAGCCACGTCAGCAGAAGGCTCGTAGGCTTCCATCGTAGGCTTCAATCGTAGACTTCCATCGCAGGCTTCCGTCGCAGGCTTCCATCGCAGGCTTCCATCGCAGGCTTCCATTGTAGACTTCCATCGCAGGCTTCCATCGCAGGCTTCCATCGCAGGCTTCCATCGCAGGCTTCCATCGCAGGCTTCCATCGTAGACTTCCATCGCAGGCTTCCATCGCAGGCTTCCATCGCAGGCTTCCATCGCAGGCTTCCATCGCAGGCTTCCATCGTAGACTTCCATCGCAGGCTTCCATCGCAGGCTTCCATCGCAGGCTTCCATTGCAGGCTTCCATCGCAGGCTTCCATCGCAGGCTTCCATCGTAGGCTTCCATCGGAGGCTTCCATCGCAGGCTTCCATCGCAGGCTTCCATCGCAGGCTTCCATCGCAGGCTTCCATCGTAGGCTTCCATCGGAGGCTTCCATCGCAGGCTTCCATCGCAGGCTTCCATCGCAGGCTTCCATCGTAGGCTTCTATCGCAGGCTTCCATTGTAGGCTTCTATCGCAGGCTTCCATTGTAGGCTTCTATCGCAGGTTAACCCTTACCCTAACCCTTACCCTAACCCTAATCCTAATCCTAATCCTAACCCTAAGGACAGTGGTGATGATCCAAGACACTCCACATTCAACCACATTTATGAACATTTGTAAACATTTTTGGATATTGTTCATGTTCCTTATGGACTAATGTGTTTTTTATCACTGCATTTCCGGTTTGTTTCTCTGATCTGTTTTGCCGACTCTTTGTAAAGTCCTCTGCGATAACTACTGCTGTGATTTAGGACTATACAACAGTACATTATTAAATTGAATACAACAAAGTTTGTACTGAAGCATCTGAATTTCCCTTTAGTCTAACCACAATTAAAAGCTTGTTGCGTGCTCTGCGGTCAGAGAGAGGTCAGAATCTCCAGCGACTACAGAAAAACACATCTTCTCACAGATTGTCACGACTAGTTATTTTTGGACTCCTGCAACCTCCGTTTGCATATTCATTATGTAAACACGGCACAGCTCAAAGAATGATTTCATTTAGAGGATGCATTTCCCATTGTGCACGACACATCTTAATCTCTTTGCTCTGCTGCTGTTGCACAATTGAAGCGTCATCTTTTATCGCAGCCGAACAAAGCGTGCGTGGATCTATGGCCTCATCTGAACGCAGCCCAAACGCCCTCTCGCCGCCACATTTGCATCCGCCTCATCTCAATATTGACTTGCTGTTATTGCCCCCCTCTGTGGCTGTGTGTATCAGGACTGACAGGAGTAAACAGACAGGGCTGGTGTATCGGGGCCAACGCAGGGGCCCCCGTTCGTTCCCATTATCAGTGATTACTGCCACCGCTCTCTCCCGCCGCCGCTGATTCCTATCCGAGCTGAAGCAGGTCACAGATCGTTATCGGGACAGGTACTAAGTATGTTGGATTTATGATTGCCGCCAAGAGCGAGCTGGTGCTTGGGGTGATTTCAAAGTTTATTCAGCTGAAAAAGGATTTTATTGGAGATATATTCTCCGGTCGTATTTTGTTCATTTGTAGTTTTGTTGTTTTGCTCCAAGTGAGAAGATATTTTTGGATTACAGCTCTTTACATTATGCTCTGTGTATGAGGGAAAGTACACTCCCGTCCACTGAAAAGTGAGAAATCACACAAATGTATTTCTAAGTTTAGATATGGTCTTGCGTAGCTCTGTTGTTTTGTGTCTACATTTTTCTGGCTTTTTTCTAGCTGTAAATGTTGTTGGTGTTACACTGATCCAGACTGATCCAGACCAGAGCAGAGAGGAGGAGAGACAGAGTTCCACTGTGGAAATGCAACAGGTCTTAGGATTCACGGTCCGAACCAAGCAGATCAAGCCTAAACCCACTGGAGGAATGCTAATATTATTTGAAAAAGCATTCAGAATTTCATTCTGAACCAGAGCAGAGAAAAAGGTCTGACCCAAACAGACTCTTCAAACATCAACCAGCGTCTGCACCACCTGCTGCTGTAACATAAACCAACATAAAGTGAGTTATAGATAGAATGATACTTTATTGATCCCTGTTCGAGAAATTCAGGTGTCCAGAAGCAGAAAACTCATCCAGGTCTGTTGCACAGTCCGACAGCCGAAGGAACAAAGGATCTCTTAAAATGTCCAGTTGAAGAGAACGATGCATTTATCTGTCTGTATGGATGGAATACATTTCTGCTGCTGGACACCTGCATTTCTCCAATGGGAGATTAATAAAGGAACTATCGATCTATATCTATACATCAAACATTTCTTGATAACAAAATGTGTCTGGGTTTTTGTGAAGCTGACAAACCGATTCTACGACCTGCAGTCGCCGAAGTCAAACCTCAGCACCTCTGACTACACCGTGCTTCACTCTGTCTCCTTGGTGTTCCCCAATGTCTCCCATCACAATACTAATCAGACCCAGCCTTGCTTAGCTTCAGCGGTCTGACGGTACTGGGCTTTCACATCCAGGTATGGCATTTAAAGCAAAACTTAAGAAAACTATTCCACATTTGCTTATGATTTGACTTGATTTCATCTCAGTGGCTTCAACTTGACTTTTAATCTTCTCTCTCCGTCGTGTTATGAAAAGCCAACAGGAGCAAAAGCAGAGAAAGCAGCAGGATTCGAGCAATGTTCTACACGCCGCCGCAAACTGGAATTAATCCCAGCGGCGCACGCTCTTACCTCAAATGCCTTCAAAGCGAACAGATCCGCTCCGGGCGCCTAATTAATTCACAATAAAAAGGCTCCACACTGAGCCCTGATACCTTTAGAGGGATTTTTCTGTAATACTTTTATTTGGCGCCGTGTTGGCAGCGTTCTCTGGTGTTCCTCTGGTGTTCCTCTGAATAAAGGCCACCGCTGTGTTTGAGTCGGCGCCGGACTCAGTGAGGACCAGGTCGCGGTGAGTTCAGGGTGATCAGAAACCTGGCTTTATACCACACCAAACTATGGAGGGTTACTTTTTATTTTTACTTATTAAAAAAGAAAAAAGGTTCTCAGATTAATATTATGCTGAGGATGGAAATGACATCTGGAGAGAAGCAAGTTCTCTTCTCTGAGTGTGATAGATTTATCTATGATCCATCCATGCTCCATGTCTGGGTCGGGGGGTGGCAGTCAGAGCTGTACCCACTGATCCTCCTGCAGGTGCACAGTCCACAGGATTTTAGATTAGCTCATTATATTATGAATGTAATAATAATTAATCTACAATGTATTAGCGACCTATAATACAAACACACCTGCAATAGGTCGCAGCACAAGGAATGAGTAATGCAACACAAAATATAACTAAAACATTGTTGTTTAATCCAGTTCAAATGAATGGAGTTGCGCCGGCTGACGCATGGGCGTCACGCGTCAACTGCACGAGCTCCATTCATTTGAACGAATGACTTCTAAAGTCCACAGCAACTAAACTAGACTGGTCCAGAACACTCAGCATTGACACACATGTGGAACGGAGCTTTGGGCCAAGAGCCAACTTTGGACCATCCTGTAAAGACGTTTTCTAGAGGTAAGAAGATGCTATATGTTAGCATTGGCTAATTCTTATTCTGGGTCCACCCCCACAGGCCCGGGGTGGTACTGCAGCATGTCAGCGCACGTCATTTTGGCCACTTTAGAGCCAGGACCCGGCTCCACTGGTAAGAAGGCACAGACTTCCCTTGCACACCGCAGCATGGCCCTGAGTCTATGGTCCCCAACTGGCGGACCGGGGTTTATGCTAGGACCTGGAGAGCATTTTCTCTGCACTCCCGTGAAGTTTTTGTTTAAAGATTTTAAAAGGTTTATTTTGTCTGGAGTGACTTCCTGTTACTTCCTGTTACTTACGTGGCAATAAAAAATATTCTGTTTCTGATGTATGTGTTTGTCCCAAGCCCCTTCAATCAAAGACCGCGGCCTATTCAAATCAATGGTTTGTGCTCAGTAGCGCATAGGCCACCATGGGCATCAAAAGATTAGCAAAACTCGGCCATATCTGGGCATTTCTCTGGTCCTCCCGGTTCTGTGCAGTGGACAACCTTCCATTATTCTTTGCGACAAATACTAACAAGCATGCGTGTGTGGCTCTCATACACATGTGCACAGCAGCATTCTGACCAATCAGGTGCTGCTGATCAGAGCGGAGCTAGAGCAGGACGAAAATGAGCAGAGTTGGTTCCACTAAAGTATGGATTTAAAGAAAACCGATGGATGAAGGGACACTAAAATCCAACTTTTATGAAAGCAGTAGGTTCTCTGTCAGCTGAGGTCAAGCTGTTTTAGTTTACATTGAGTTCTACGGGGAACATTTTTGGGTAGCCCATGAATTTTGTCTTATTTAGTCTACAGTACTGCGGGAAGCCCATTGGTCCTTCAGCTATAAGCTAGGAATACCCTATCCAGGTATGATAATAGATCCATGGTTTGTCCTCATGGTCTCTGTGTCAGTATGTGTTTGTCCTCATGGTCTCTGTGTCAGTATGTGTTTGTCCTCATGGTCTCTGTGTCAGTATGTGTTAGTCCTCATGGTCTCTGTGTCAGTATGTGTTAGTCCTCATGGTCTCTGTGTCAGTATGTGTTTGTCCTCATGGTCTCTGTGTCAGTATGTGTTTGTCCTCATGGTCTCTGTGTCAGTATGTGTTAGTCCTCATGGTCTCTGTGTCAGTATGTGTTAGTCCTCATGGTCTCTGTGTCAGTATGTGTTAGTCCTCATGGTCTCTGTGTCAGTATGTGTTAGTCCTCATGGTCTCTGTGTCAGTATGTGTTTGTCCTCATGGTCTCTGTGTCAGTATGTGTTAGTCCTCATGGTCTCTGTGTCAGTATGTGTTAGTCCTCATGGTCTCTGTGTCAGTATGTGTTTGTCCTCATGGTCTCTGTGTCAGTATGTGTTAGTCCTCATGGTCTCTGTGTCAGTATGTGTTAGTCCTCATGGTCTCTGTGTCAGTATGTGTTAGTCCTCATGGTCTCTGTGTCAGTATGTGTTAGTCCTCATGGTCTCTGTGTCAGTATGTGTTAGTCCTCATGGTCTCTGTGTCAGTATGTGTTTGTCCTCATGGTCTCTGTGTCAGTATGTGTTAGTCCTCATGGTCTCTGTGTCAGTATGTGTTTGTCCTCATGGTCTCTGTGTCAGTATGTGTTAGTCCTCATGGTCTCTGTGTCAGTATGTGTTAGTCCTCATGGTCTCTGTGTCAGTATGTGTTAGTCCTCATGGTCTCTGTGTCAGTATGTGTTTGTCCTCATGGTCTCTGTGTCAGTATGTGTTAGTCCTCATGGTCTCTGTGTCAGTATGTGTTAGTCCTCATGGTCTCTGTGTCAGTATGTGTTAGTCCTCATGGTCTCTGTGTCAGTATGTGTTTGTCCTCATGGTCTCTGTGTGGGTATGTGTTAGTCCTCATGGTCTCTGTGTCAGTATGTGTTAGTCCTCATGGTCTCTGTGTCAGTATGTGTTAGTCCTCATGGTCTCTGTGTCAGTATGTGTTTGTCCTCATGGTCTCTGTGTCAGTATGTGTTAGTCCTCATGGTCT